ACAAATTACTCTGACGTTAAGGTCGTTTGCATTATCTTGAGCAAGCACTTCTTGGCTAAAGTAGTTCTCAAGAGAAAAAAACAGCTAATTTTCTGCAACTAACACATTATCTTGGCTATTTATTTAATAGCATTATCCGTGCCAAAGTATTCCTACTGAAAATCTTTTTTTAGAATCGCAGTCACTGTTATTTACTTCTAAAAAGTAGAGCTGATTTACCATTTTTGATTAACTTGATGATCATGATAAACTTCTTGCAGTTGATGTCTTCTTTAGTCTAATCAAATGCAGCAACTTGCTGACTCAATGCACTTTTTACGGAGCTGAGCTTATGAGACTGGAATTTTTTTGGAGATTACTAATCCTTGTTTTTGATTGGATTTTTTTAGACATTCAACCTCGTTTTTCCAGCTCCTTGAACTCTTTCTGTATCGCACCGTTTTTATTAAGGCATTTAAGCTGGCTGGGGAAAGAGGACTTACCGTCGCTAATATCTTCCACGACCTTGCTTTGCATTAAGGTGAATCCAAATTCAATTTACAACCACAAAAGCATTTTATCGTTGGCAGTATTCTAAAAATGATATCACTTTGCCTCTTTTTACTAAACTAATCAATTTATCTGCATTATGGCTAAATGGACTGAACAAGGCATAAGAAAAATGAAAGGTCCCCACAGACCTATATTTCGACCTATATATACCTATATATCTTCTCCCAACAGTTGTATTAGATAGAACTTTGGCAGAACTACACTGTATCGCTAAAGATATTTTACAGAATTTTTTCTTGTCACCTCAAGATTTTTGGTGACCGGAGCAGCATCTGCGGTATACTTAGATATTGTATTTGCATGGTTCATAAGTACATCAGACCTCTTCTGAAGTTTGGATGCGGTAGACAGGTTGTGGGTTTATAGGGTGGACCACATGTGGCACTGAGGCTAATAGTGCCCCTAAAAGATAGGATGGCCCGCTTAACACGTTGACGACCGTATGCATCCGCGCGTATGCACGCCCTAACTCCCGTTTAGCATTTTCGTGCATCCGCGCATATGCACGCTAGTTTTTTAGGTGTAAACGAAAAGTTTTAAGGTAACTTCTATGCAGTAATACTACTGATGGCCTGATAATCTTACAGAACACAGGGTATCGCAGCAGCTGTTCAGAAGTTTGGGCTGCAAAATTGGGTAATCAGTCGGTTTTTGGTAAGGTAAACACATGCTAATTACGTTTCTCCGAGAAGGTGAAAACTCTGCATAGCTGTTTTGAAATCAGATAAGGATGAATCAGGCAAAAAACACCTGGTATTACAGCGCTTTTCTCGAAGAGGGTGTCCTCAGATATAGCCATTGCATGGTTTAGTGGAGGTAAAATCATGCAAAAACCTTGATTTGTGTAAGTCCTGGTAGGGCACTGTGATATACCTGTATTTCTCAACAAAGTTCGCGTGTTTTATGAATAAGCGTCAAAAAGACTCCCACATAATGTTTTCGTGCATCCGCGCGTATGCACGGGTCAAATGCGCGAAGGACGTTAGTGGGAGTTTCGCCCAAAACGGCGCGGTCGTCAACGTGTTAATACCCTATAATAGATCATCAGCCGACGCGTGCGCTACCTTATCAGTTTGTTTATTGTTGACAGTTGCAGAGCTTAGTGACCTCAGCGTGTGCTTCTTGTACTTCGTTACCCCCCCTCTCCCTCTCCCCAGTTATTCCACATCCATGTAGCTCAACTCCATTTGCGTGTGGTAGATACCGTAAAAGGTTTTGGGTGTGGTTCCGATTTTGTAACTCAATATTCTAAATTTACTTCTGATCATAAGATATGCCGATTTGCCTTAACGCCAGCCATTTCTCCTTTGAATAAGACCCTCTTATCTCGCTCGTCTTTGCAACCATTTATAATCTTTCTGTTCACCTTTGATCTCCCCAAAGATTATCCGCTGAATTGAGCTTTTCTTCGTTTTGCGTGCATCCATAATTAGGAAGGTTGGAGGACGGAAGCTGTCGGCTCCGCCCCAAGCTCTTCCACTGACGCTTTCGTTATTATGCTCTGATATAGTAACAGATAAATGACATTATATTGATAGCATGTATTTATAGATGTTGCGATTTTTGCTTCTTCTACCTATCGTTATGGCGAACTCATTTTGGATGACCGCCGATTTGCTGAGAGTGGACTGGAGTGAAGGGTGTCTAACTACCGCCGGCTGTTCCCATCCCAGATTTAAGGTAAATTCGCTGAAAAATTTGTACCTTGATTTTTATATGTGGCTGAAGCATTCAAAAAAGACAGCTTTCAGATCCTTGGAGATTTGCTCCCACTTACTGAGGAAATCTCTATCAGCTGGCCTATTTCCGAGCATTTTGTCCAGGTAAATTCGTTTACAAAATTTATTGTATGCCTCTTTTCTTCAAATTTTTTCACACCAGTTGAAACCGAAGATTGAAAACACTTTCCGCAATCGGCCAGCGCATAAACATTGAGAGGCGAGAAGTCTTATTGTTGGCCAATAAAATGTAACAGTCCCGGTCCATCAGCAAAACTTATAAACCATACAATTTTTTGAGTGTACCAGTTACTCTTGACATAATATACATTTTTTCCTTATGATTACACTATTATTTGTGATTTATCGTTAAGGATACCTCGCGCTCTTTCGTATCCCATTGGGCAAAAGGTAAGCCGGAAGATCTGAAGCTCAGGTGCCAAGTGGTTGGCACCGATCCGCTCTATGGATTTCCGCGAGTCTGTGACCATACCGCGTCAGTCCGCGCCTTTCCGGACGGAACCGTCGAAGTATTGGTGAGTGACTCTGTGGCAATGTGACTCTCATAATGAGCTGTCCGTCTGTTTCACACGCAGACTTACATAGTGGAGTGTCTGTGAACGAACTCAGCTCTTCTGTAGGAAAGAAGGCGACGTCAAGCGATGGTCACGACCACTTCATTGCCGGAAGACGAACTGGGCAAGAGGCTGATTGAAATCCGGGCCAGGTGTTTTAACGCCACCGTAGCGGTGGAGAAGCACACGGAGAGATGTCCATGGTGCCCAGATCCATCGGATGTGGCCCTCATCGAGCAAAGGGTTAGTCAGTAGAGCTCGATTTTCTTCTAGAATTGTGTTGACGCCAGATATAGAAAAATGGTAGCTACTTCTACGAAATAATTATACAGGGTGTCCCAAAAAGATGTGCACACTCTTTGATCGTTAATAACTCCGTTGCTTTCAAGTCTTTCGCCGGGCATGAGGCACCATTCTGTAGAGCGAGGTTCAACTTAGATTTGTGGTATGGAGCGAATCATCGATCGCTCTTCATTACTGTAGGATTACGGTAGGAACTTTGACAAGGATTTTGAGCCGTTGAAAGCCATATTCTGCCTCGGAACGAAACCAACAAGTCAAAAACTTTTATACATGGGTAATGGAAGCCGCTGAGTTCGAATATGAAATTTTCACTTCACTGTGACGCTTCTTTCCAAGGTTATCCCAGGTAAACCTTAATAACCGAATTTCCAGCATTTGTCAAAAATGTGATTACGCCGTCAAAAAAGCTAAAAACACTCATAAAAAGTCGTGTTATGGAATCAGCATGTGCGAAAACCCTAGTACACAACTTTTCAGATTTTTTGAAAAAAATTTTGTGAAATGGCATATTTCACAATAGATTCACATGCCATAAGTTCATACCGTAATCCTACAGTAACGAAGAGCGATCGATGATTCTCTCCATACCACAAATCTAAGTTGAACCTCGCTCTACAGAATGGTGCCTCAAGCTCGGCGAAAGACATGAAAGCAACGGAGTTATTAACGATCAAAGAGTGTGCACATCTTTTTGGGACACCCTGTATATATATATATCTTGTACATGGCATCCATATGTCTTTATAACAACAAAGTCCAGCTTTTATTCAACATTTCTTTGGCAAATTGACAGCTACAGTACTCACTGCACATGCATAGGTGACAGTAACTTCTCTTATTGTCCATCAACGATTGAATCCATGAGCCGGCATTATTACTGTCGAATAACTGTCTTCTAGCTATTAATGATTCTGTTTATTGCGTAACCCGTTATGTTGAACTTGTCATTGTTCTATTCTTTAGCTGCCAGAAGATTTACCGCCTGCATCAACTTCGATTCTTTCTCGATTAAAAAGTGACGACAAGATTTTGCAAGCCTCCGTGCTGACACTGGCAGGAATCTCTATTCTGACGTCGATGAGTTTTGCTTGTGCACTTGTTGCTCTTCTTCGACAAAAAAGGTTTGTGATTTTTGGCTCAGGATCAACTTTCCTTTTCAGGGTTGTACACTATAATCGTTTAGATCTCATCGCGAGATCACCGTAAGGACTCGCTGTCAACCATATTCTCAACCAAACTGCAAAATTTCAGAGGAAGAGAATAGGTAAGCCGAACATTCCTTCAGCCTGATGTATAGTCGTCATGGATATAAGTGCACATTTCGAATAGTAGAGTAACCACTTGCACTTTGTGAAATATGCAGTTTCTCGACTAATAGGCATCACACTTCAAGTTTTATCCATTTCTGGAAAATGCTTGAGTAAAGTGCATTTACGTTTTAGATACGATGCGCCATGGGAACAAACACTTCCGCTCACTTATTGCCTTACTTCTTCATCAAAGTCAACCACGACATCACCGCTGGACTCGACGTCGTTATTTGGCGCACCGTCGTCAGTTGTCAGTCCATACAGCTTTCGACCCGGGTGCACAATACCGCAGACACAACTCTACCATCATATCTCCCCAAATTCTTCCAAAACAGCTGAACACGACTCTGGGCTGGGGTCTGTCTGAGTAAAATTGGAAGATCTCGGGTGGGTACAAAATGTTATGATCATTTACTAGATCCTAATCAGGCATTTTTCTAGTACACCATCAACTACCGTCAGTACAGGGCCCTCTATGGTTGAGGAAGACATGAAGTGCGGGTCACATACGTGTTTGAGATGCTACCTAGTGCAATGATCACATGGAAATAGTGATTTTACGGAAGGAAGGGGGCTCTCCTCAATTGCATAACGAGGTACGTTTTTTTGGACCTTCTTTGGCTAACCAATTTCCCGTTTGCAGGAGAAATCTGGCATGCGCAGCTCCATGGTTTCAGCTCTCATCTGCAGTTCTCGGGTTTATGTCGAAGACCGAACAGTGATGACGGGTGATGAATACAGTGTCAGAAAATTGTACCTTTGTTTAACCGTTAACAACTCTCTTGTTAACGACTATGGATAGCAGGGACCCTGTTGTGAAGCTGGCTCAAGTCTAGTCATACTACAGAACGAATATCGAGAATAATTTCCAAGATAGTAGGATTGGAAGCAGAGCAATTTCGTGGACCTTAATTACGAAGCTGCCATTTCGAAAAGTTCTGAACCGCAAACATCCATGATTTTTTAGTTTTCTTCTAAACAAACTTTTTGAGCTTTCGGCTCCATTAGGTCAAATTCAATGAATCCTCTTAGAAAAGATTGAAAAATCCTTTTAAAAAATATGCATGCCTAAGGTTCTGCATGAAAGATCGACAGCATTTAGAGCGACGAAAACTCCCTCAAAAGTCCTTACCGTAACCCTACAGTGATGGAGTGTAATCTTTCATCCTTGGATTTGCGACTCAATTCAGGTTTTATGATAGACATCGAGACAAGAGAGTTAGTAACGATGAAACGGTGGATACAATCAATCTGTGTAAAATATATATTTTATAGAAGAACATTGTATATAAATACATGTAAAAATGATGTACATATGTAATTACGAAGTCTAAGTTTTATTTGAAATAAATATGTTTTTACTACAAGTCATTGTTATTCAGAACAGTTTCAGTGGTATATAAACAACATGCTTTTTGTGCACAAACAAACATTATATACATATATCTACTGTATTCGCTATCTTAACGAAATTTGGAAATCAAAGAATTTGTATACTTGAGGTAATGAAAGATGCAATTCTATGTCAGATGAAGCAGGTAATGACATATTTGGTGCGTAGTAGAGAGCCGTATTCAAAGAAGCAGTTGATTTCAAAACTCTTTCCCGATGACTGATATCCGCAGGAATTCTGCGAATTTTCAATTTGTGAACTGGAGACGTTTGCTAGAAAGATTTACTGCAGATAGTTGTCTCCAATAATACCACTAATGCTGCCCCATTCACAATGCACAGCACTCATGCTTGTTTTCCCACGTGCGATTAGTCCTCTACCGTAAGCAAATGAATTATTTGTGGCTTTGTAGAGTGATCATCCGCTAAACTCAGCATTCATGAGATAAGTGGTAACATTTGAATACAGGAATTCTTGACTACATGTGGGAAAAGATATGTGTTCAATGCGAAAAATAGCTTGGTGTTTGTAAAAGTTGACAATTTTGATGTTACAAATCTCTTTCGATTTGATGTTTATCACCTAAGCAATCTACTGAGCCATACTCAGTCGGTATGACATGAAGCATCAAAACAGTACTCATAGTCAAAGTAAAAAAAGTAAGTTAAATCAAACATAAATTCTTCTGGAATGTCTGATGTATAAATTTATACATAAGAATCTGCAATGTATAAAGCTTCTCTCGGATTTCGGTTAATTCAGTTACAAGGAAATCGTGGTGCTGCGTAGTTTACGTGATCCGCGTGATTTTAAGAGAATCACGGAATGTCTCGGGATCACCGAAATCACGCGGAATGTTGCGAATTGGATCTGCACGTTCCACAAGCGGTACTGTAATGCTCACTAATCTGCCTAGGACATTTATTTTTGCCATCCTCATAGGTTTTATATAATAACTGCTATTTAGAGACTCAATATGTCTTTTCATTATAAAAAGAAAGCTGTTGTAAAAAATGAAGTTCAAGGCTACTGCCGGATCAAAGCGCAAGAACAGTATTATTAGTTGAGCAGGCGCGAACGTGTGCGCGGGTATCTTCAGCGTTGTAAACCTTCGCCTCATGCGATTTGCAGCTAACAAGATCCGCTCTGCGCATTCGCGCCCTTAAGTTTTGGGCCTTGTCCGGCAACAGTAACCTATACATCCTCTGGGCGTGCCATCCAAACAAAGTACTTCGCATTTTGGCTTCCTTTCCTTTCAAAAGACTAGAAATTTAATGGCGGAAAATATAGATTACATGGTTTTCGAGTAAAAGAGCTCTATTCTCTATCAAACTGGGTAATCTAGATGCGCTGGAACTATGGAATCTGTTTATGATAGATAATGAAAGGTTTGCAGCCTTCGCTTCATCCGGCATTTGAAAATTTCTGGACCGGGTTATGTCTACTTTGTGCTCATCCATTGTATGCTTTGTTCTTCTTCGTAATTGCGGCTTCTTCTATGTAATGCCGTGACATTGTCCCCAACCAAAATAAATATAACCTCTTTTTACGGTGTCATTGAGCTTTGTGTTGACGCCTTTTTGTTTGTTTTGCCGTATCATGTTTCGTCAGACGGTACAATGTTCCTCGAATGACCTATTGATACCTAGGCGTTTCCCGTTTTCTTCAAGGACTTTTCCGGGCTTGAGGATTGCTGGAGGGGATGGGCAAGCGATCGCTGACTGGGTCGCGATTGGCTGCATGACCCGACCAGCCAGTTGCCGCTGAAATGGATGGAATTACTTTCTGCAGCCAGTTGCAGTTCTTGGCTGTAGTCGCTCGCCCAGCCCCCTCAGTCACCTCTGAGGCCGGAAAACGACAAAAAAGCACTTTTTGACTTTTAAAGTGCAGTCCCGGATTCAGCGTATCCAGAAGGCCATAAGTCTGAAAAGCCCGCAGTTGCAATTTTCCCGAGCCACTGCCTTCAAGTGTCTCTATTCATTTAATGATGACCCAATGTCCCTACGCCTTTGTCTCTCTTAAGGACTAAGAATGGTTTAAAGACTCCGTAACCCAGGTCGCCAAATATCCGCATCAAACGGGCTATTTACAGCATTCCTTCAATTTTGCTACTACATACCTTACAATTAGAGCTGTAGGCAAGAATGGGAAAACAAGCGGCAAGCAGGAGTTCTGAGAAGATAGAGCTTTATTCCAGGAATTTATGTACTTTTCATTTGCTACAATCTAAGCAGAGGTCTCTGAAACAGAAGGCCGAAGCAAGAAAGAGTCTAAAAAATTATAGTTCATTTTATTGAATGAAGGTTATTGAATAAGAGGTGTGAGTATCGAGTCTTCAAAAAGAATATACCCAATTCTCTTGAAAATGCAAGAATAATCGTTGAATTTTTCGTGAATTAATGATCAATAAAGTGAAGTTATGTATTAATTCAAGCATCATAAATCCCTGATAAATATGAAAAGAGAAAATCATTCCTTCGATTCGTTAGTTTATGCGTTGAAAATCTCCCATCCATACAGAGAAAATTTCGCAGATTGATAGGATTGATACCTCGAACTTCATTTGTGCACATAATCCTTCCTCTACGTGGTTAAAAATTCCTTTTCAATACGAATGCTACCTCTTCTGCAATGGATGCTAGATTTTCAGTGAATGATTATCACAAAACCACAAATAATGCGCTTGCTTACGCTGCAGGGACAATCCGTGAGAAACAAGCATTAATGCTGCTTATGGGTGGAGGAACATTGGCATTCATTTTGACGAGATTTTCCATCAAAGTGTTTTCAACCATCAAAAGAGAAATCTCGGGAAAATTGCAACTGTGAGCTTTCTTCACCTACATACATAACCTTCTGGATGAATCAGGGTTGTGCTCGAAAAGTCAATAAGTGCTTTCTTGCGTTTTCCGGCCTTAGGTATTGCTGAGGGTGCTAAAGGAGAGGTTCCCGCCAAAAATAGCGATTGGCTGCAGGACTGTAGCTCCACCTTGGCGGTTGGCTAATTGGCTCAGGCAGCCAATCGCAACGCAATTGGCGAGAATCGCTCGTCTAGCCCCTCTACCAATCTCCAAAGCCGGAAGACACCGTGAAAAACATTTTTTCGACTTTCAAGGCACAACGCTGGTCTCAACGCAGTTAGATCCCTTGGCATTTTGCCTCGAGAAATTCCCATTACTCCCTTCCCAGAAGCGTTTTGTAGGTCCCAAAAGCACATGTGACAGCGTTCCATATTTTATAAGATAGTTTACATTTCATGTGGAATTTCACTTGACCAAGTATCTTTCCCTCGTTAGAAACCTAACCATTTAAAGTTCGCAAAAAATGCCTATGAATAAAGCATTGTAGCTTTATGATCTAATTGTAAAGAAGCATGCTCAAATAGTGGTCAATATCGCTTCTCCCAAGGCTATTGAAACAATGAACAGTAATATTTGAAATTATGCTCCACATTCTTGACTTGCCCAACTATAAATATCGCTTCTGAAATTTTACTTGTTCTTTTCATATTCATAGAAGGTTCTGTAGAAGAAACCACTATTCGGACACAAACTATGCGTATTGCCAATTGAAGATGTATCTTATTAGCTCTGAACAAATTTTAGATCACCTGATAACATATTTATTTCAAGTCTTCAAGCACTAGTCTTCATAACACCTATACATCTACATTCAGTATATACATTCATACCCATTTTTGCCAACCCATTTTTCCGCCTGGATTTCCAACGTAAACCCGTGAGTAATTGCTACCAGTTGAAATGAACCTGCACATGCTTGCCAGATTTATCCTGCAGTAAAGTTACCATTCATCTTGGTTTCTAAAGAAGACTACGTAATAAAAGCTACACAGGTTAAGAATAAACTCACATATTATGCATCGAAAAAGGCTCCTACCTTCAGAATTGTCGTCATTTTTGACGATGTACGACACGAGGTAGCATCCAAACTAGGTAAGTGGCCTCGCCTTTTGTGCCTTTGAACCGTAAAGATAGCTGAAAAAGGCAGTCTTTTCCTACAATTTTTGTGCTAAAAGCATTGTTAATTTAGATTTTTCAGTAAATAAGCTCTACTTTCCGCACCTACTTTAGATCTAACAGCTTAGAGTTACACCGATCCCAGTCCAGAGTCACGTCCAGCTGCTGTGGAAGAATTTGGTGAGATGTAATGGTAAATTTGTGTCTGCGGTATGGTGCACCCGGGTCGGAAGCTGTATGGATTAATAACCGACGACGATGCACCAAATGACGATGTCGAGTCCAGCGGTGATGTCGTAGTCGATTTTGATGAAGAGGATAGACAGTAAGTGAGCGGAAGTGTCTGTTCCCATGGCATATCGTATCTGAAAAAGAAAATGCACTTTACTTCGCCGTTTTCCATAAATGAGTAAGAATCAAAGTGATGCCTATTAGTCGTAAATGCTTTAAACCGCGCAACTCACCAAAGTGCAAGCGATATAATACTTTTGAAATGTGCAGCGATTCCCACGACGACGGGACTACATATCGGTCTGGGAGTATTTTCTGCTTACCTATTCTCTTCTTCAGAAGTTTTGCGACTAGAAGGAGGGTATGGTTGATAGCGCGGTTTAGCGGTGAACTGGCGATGAGACCTAGATAAATAAAGCTCTGAATAATTCAAAAATAGCTTATAACGAAAACCCTCCACAAACCTCTTTTGTCGAAGAAGAGCGACAAGTACACAAGCGAAACCCATTGATGCCAGAATAGAGATTCCTGCCAGTATCAACACGGAAGCATACAATATTTTGTCATCGCTTTTCAATCGCGAGAAAATCGAAGTTGATAAGGCAGACGAAGGATCCTCGGGCTGCTGTAAAAACGAATGAATCAATGAAAAATTTCATATAACTGGTTACGCTATAGGTGAAAGTAATAACATATGGACAACTTCTACACAGCACTAACAGGGGAAGGATACTTGGATACCGTAGCCATTCATAATGATTTGTATACCAAAAAATGCGCTTTTGAATGCTGGTTCGTAGACTGTCTTTCATATCTGCGAAACGATAATCTGAATGGAGTTATGATTTTTTTTTTTCATTAAAAAAATTGCGTTTTTGCGGAGGGTCAAAATCATCAATAAAAAATTTTCTCTCCTTTCCAAATGCTGAGTATGATCCAGATAGTCTAAATAAATATTACTACGTCTAAAATTTTCTTCATTAGCATCAAACGGTAGACTAGGTCAAATCTGGTGATTCTCACTATCCAAAAGTAGGCTAAATTTTCAAGGAGAAAAGTTCATAACTTTCTTCAAAAGATCGTTTCGCAGATTTCGAGCACAGATTCAAAATCTGCATTCGAAGGCGCATTTTTTGGTATACAAATCATTAGGAATGGCCGCGGCATCCAACTATCCTTCCCTTGTAAGAATTGCAATAGCTGGTTATGAGGTCAATTTTTGATGGACAATGAGAGAGCCATCGCGTTTAATGTGCAAAGGGCATAGTGTAGTTTTGGAGCTGGGGAGAGTTGACTTGAGGATTGAGACTTTGTTGTTATCCGAAATGATGTAATACACTCGCAAACGACGAAGAAATATTAGGAAAGTAGTAATTCTTCTCGTAAATTGTATTGGTCATGGTTACGAGGAATCAATTATTGCAAAAAGGGCCATTGACTAACCCTCTGTTCGATAAGCGCCACATCCAACGGGCACCATGGACATCTCTCTGTATGCTTTTCCACAGCTACGGTAGCGTTAAAACACCTGGCCCGGACTTCAATCAGCCTTTTGCCCAATTCTTCTTCTGACATAGCAGTGGTAGTCGTGACCGTCGCCTGGCGTCGCCTCCTTTCCTACAAAAGAATTAACTCGCAACTGTAATACCGTATGATTTCCAATTTGCATCGCATAATGGCAGAGATACAAAGCTCACTAATATTTCGTCGATTCCGTCCGGAAAGGCACGGGTTGAGGCGGTATGGTCACAGACTCGTGGAAACCCATAAAGAGGATCGGTGCCAACCACCTGGCACCTGAGATTCAAATCTTCCGGCTTACCTCTTGCCCAATGGGATACGAATGAGCGCGAGGTGTCCTTAAACGATTAAGTCTTTTTTTGACACCGAAGTATCGACCAGTAACGACTGAATTGTTAAAATCCTGTTACAAGTAAGAGCTACAACTAACATGAGTCTCTTGCCTATATACCTTCTGTTGAATTTGTTATGCTAAAATTCAGGTCATTTTGGGAGCTTTTCGACTTTTCGCCTTCTTCAGGCTTCACCTAAGATACTGCTCAAAGACGGCCTTGACTGACGGTTTTGGAAAGAATAAAAAACTAAGAATGTTGGCACTAAGTGTGTAGATTTCTGAGTCCGAGAATGATAATGGTAGATATCTTTCTTTAACTGAACATTCATCAAAAACTTGCAGTTGACGGTATATAAGATATGGGCTCAAAACACCAACGACTTGTACAATGCATAAGAGAAAGAATTACATTTGAAAGAATTCGAGTTACCTGAACGAAATGCTCAGAAATAGGCCAACTAATAGCGATCTCTTCGGTAATTGGGAGCATATCTCCAAGTATCTAAAAAGCTATTGTGGCTTGAATTTGCAGTACACTCCAATATCTCCCCATAAATTTACCTCAAACCTGGGATGAGAACAACCGGCGGTGGTTAGACATCCTTCACTCCAGTCCACTCTCAGCAAATCGGCGGTCATCCAAAATGTGTCAGCCATAATGGCAGGTAGAATTAACAGCAACGGCAACATCTATAAAATGCCTATTATCAAAGTATATCAAATATCTGTGACTAGATCATGGAGCATAACAACGAAGAGACCGAATAGAAGTAGTAGAAGAGGTAAAAGATGTAGATGGTAGAAGAGCATTCTAATGGTAGAAGAGCATGGGCGGAGCCGTCGGCCTTCTTCCAGCTTTCCTAATCATAGATGCACGCAGAACGAGGGAAAAGCTCGAATCTGCGGATAATCAGTGGCGAGATCAAAGGTGAACGGAAAGATTATTAATTGTTGCAAAGACGATGGAAGACTGTCTTATAGACAATTGAAAAAGGCTGATGTTGAGTCTATATCGGCCGCACACGTGTGGGAAACTAAAATTATAAAACATATTTTTCTAATCAAACTCCGTAAAAAATGTGTGGATTCTCACACTTTGTTTGTTCAGCAATGAGAAGCAGCAAAGCGGCGGATCTGTTGACGTTTTAGAACATCAAAAAAGGCACAAGAGATTACAGTACTCATAAGAACGATTTTATAGGTACCTCGCACCTTTGAGATTGTAAATTAATGTACGTACTGAAAACGAAACCACATCTATAACTATAAAGTCGATCAAATTACAAGAAGAACCACCGCTCTGGTCACTAAGCCCTACAACTGTCAACAACAAACAAGGCGATAAGGTAACGCACGCGCCGCCGGCTGATAATCCACTACGGGTGGCCAAATGGACCAATATTTCCTTTGGAGTTGCCGCTATGACACTGCCCATCATTAATTACTACCTGCTACCGCACCCTGTCTTGCTTTTGTATGAATGAGAAAAATCGGCCAAGCAATGATACTGTCTAGTCATTGAAGATAGATAAGAACAAGAAAAATTGAAAAGCTTATACTTTTCGGTAGCGCTAATTTTGTAACCAAAACACGCATTCAATGATTCCTTTTATTATGAAGAGATTTAACGTAATATAATTTCAGCTTTCTGAGTGAACTAGCTACAGTCTACAGCAGTCTCATTATAGCAAAGAAAATGCTACATTCTTCCTTATGTGAAACAGCGTTGATAACAAAAATATTTTCTTCGAATTTACAGCCTTTTCCAACCAATTCAAACGCATTTGCAGCGCTAATGCGGCAAGGAGAGAAACTAATAATAATGCAAAAACAAGGTCTGCGAATGTTCACGGTCTTTATTCATTCTCGCATATGAAACAGCGAGAAGCAGCGGTCGTTTGTAAGAGAAGACTATCATAGAAAAAATTTAACTTTTCCAAGTATAACAAATTTTCGAAAAAAAAAACCAAAAAATTTGGCTTATCCTCTGAGATCAAAGCGATTGCGGCATTTAGTGAATGTCTTGTTCTGAAAAACCTTTGTTTGCGGATATTAAGAGATAGTTTACGAATTTGTGGAAGGAGCTGCCCTAGGTTTCCGGAACATTGTTCGCAAAAAAAATCCTTGCAATATTCAAGAGTCAAAACATCTGCCTAAAAGCGTGAATATAGTAAAAACTCGACGATACGATTTTTAGTCTGTGTTACAAAAAGGAAATCCACACCTTTAAACCTTTCATCAATAGAAGAACAAGAAGAAGTTCACAACTCTAACTAGCTGCTACAGAGTCCGCAAACTACCGAAACTGTTCAAATGCTTGTCTTCAAGAAGCCCAAAGTAAGGAGATGCTAGAAGCGAGCTAATGCAAATGACCTCAACGCCAAACTAATTTGTTCTATTGCTGCGCAACTGACGATGTTGACAAATGTCTAATACCACCTTCACGGCGAATGTGTGAGCGATAAAGATCTTGCGCTAACCAGCTTCAAGGTGTTTCTCATCGTACTTAAAGTCTCAAAGTTTGCACTCTGATCATTTGAAGATAGTAGAAACGGTCATGAAGAGCGCCAGAGAATGTAAAAACTGTACTAAAGGTTGCACCGGCAAGTATAATGGAAAGCAGAAAGTTGAAGAGGAATAGTTAGAAATTTCTAGATCAGCTTTGAAGTGTTTTGAGAGTGGCGTTTATAACTAGTGAGAGCGATTGCTCTATATGTTCATTTCAACTGATAGTTATATCTGAAACGAAAATAATAAATTTAAGAATTACGTTGAAAGTCCTTTTATCTTGAAACCTGGGCATTTGAAAGATAACTTCAGTATTTGTTCTGTGCCGTACAGGTTTTTCATAGTAATACACTTTATTGCCTTACGTTTCGGCTACACGCCGTCATCAGAGGCCTGAAAGGTGTCAGTCACAAGGATGTCTGCTCTTGACCGCCAAACACCTCTTCCCACTTGCATATTCGATTCATCTAGTGTGGAAGAAGGAGGTTGGGCCATGACTTTCACTCACCAGTGTATTACCGATATTGCAGTGTGCAACCGCTTTAGCCGAGCCCGTTCGACTGTGGTGACACAAGAATGAGCAGTGTGTATGTCATATAACTGCTTATATACGCTCAGACGATCTATAGCTCGCAAAACGGAAGATACGGCATGAGACCGGCCGACCATTGGGCGTACGTTTGAATGAACATCTAACTGGCAAAAGAAAACAGAGCATGATGAGCCCACTAGGTAAACACAGAAAGGTAGAGCACGAAGGAACGGATTACGATATAAGGTGCACAATACTAGCCTATGAAAGTCAAATAGCTGCGCGAAAGGCTTTGGAAGCGTCTTTCATTCTTAAGCGTGATCCCAAAATGAACAGCAAGAATGAACAGTTATCCATTACCGCTGATCTCATGCCGTATCTTCCGTTTTGCGAGCTATAGATCGTCTGAGCGTATATAAGCAGTTATATGACATACACACTGCTCATTCTTGTGTCACCACAGTCGAACGGGCTCGTCTAAAGCGGTTGCACACTGCAATATCGGTAATACACTGGTGAGTGAAAGTCATGGCCCAACCTCCTTCTTCCACACTAGATGAATCGAATATGCAAGTGGGAAGAGGTGTTTGGCGGTCAAGAGCAGACATCCTTGTGACTGACACCTTTCAGGCCTCTGATGACGGCGTGTAGCCGAAACGTAAGGCAATAAAGTGTAATACTATAAACAACCTGTACGGCACAGAACAAATACTGAAGTTATCTTTCAAATGCCCAGGTTTCAAGATAAAAGGACTTTCAAGATAATCTCAAATGTAAAGCCGAACCTGTCCTTATTGGTGCGTGAAGCGTTAGCGCTCCGCCAAAAGGTTGTGGTCACCCGTCAGCAGCTCACATTCCTCAAGAGATGCTTGTCGACTAAAACGCTTCCACGTTTTATCACGAACAAAAAATTGGGAACAACATGCGGCTTATCAGAAGATCACCCAAGAGTGCGTGGACTGTACATGAACATCCTCAAGATAGTGGTCAAAGAGAAGCAACGCGTGCTATATTCCAATCTCCTGAAATGCGAAGCAAAAGAAAATTCCTGTCGTCGATTTTTGAGTGATACTGAATGGAAGAGGATTGAAAGCGAGTCAAAGCAGATTTGCACCTCTTTGCGGTCTAACATCAAAACCTCGCTTTGTAAGAAATTCGAAGGACTCTTGAGTGAAGGTAGGCAGAGTTTGGCGATGACAAAAGACCACCAGTTGTTAACCAGTTCAGTGGTGCAACAGAACACCTTATCAAACCAAAGAACGGCTAGAGTCACGGTACTAGGTAACGCTCAGATCTCGTCTAATGCCATTGATTTTCTGAGCTTAGGACCTTCCTTTGCACCTACACAAAACATCAACGCGAAAACCTACCGCAATGTTTTGGGTTCGTTGCAACGCTTAAGAGATCAGCTCCGAGTAAAGCAAGGCATGATAGTCAAACACAACCCATGCAACCCGCTGATAATCTTAGTAGAAGAATGTTACCAGCTGTGCCATTTCCATCCTCCTTTTACAAAGAACCAGAGCCTTGCATAGTCGCGGATACCAAGTTTCGAATTTTATCACTGAGAATTTTGAATGTTCTTAATGAAAATAGAAACATTAAAACGTTCAACTTAACGCGCGCACAACAACAAGGCTTTAACGAGTTGAGGGAGCTAACAACAAATGGCACTATCCGGCTTTCAGTGAGTGACAAAGGGGGAGAATTTGTCGTTATGCCCCAAACCCTTGATCGCGAAATCGTTGAGCTACACCTATCAGATCAGACCATCTACAGAACCGCTAGTGAAAAAGAGTTTCTTTCACAAGGCAAACGGTTGAATCACATATGGACGGTAGTAGGGAAGGAAGCGGGTCTGCACGAAAAGTTTCTTAGTCGGCTCAAATTAGAAACACCATCATGCCCTGTTTTCTATAGCTTAATAAAAACGCACAAACTTTCTTTGACGGATATACATTCAATGACCGCTGAGACCTACAAAATAAGACCTATTATCAGCTGCACCAATGGACCAACGGATCGAATCTCCTGGTTCCTCAACAAAATCGTCAGCCAACTGCTGAACAAAGTACCGGCGCACCAACACAAACCACTTCCTTGAACTTCTGCGGCAAACGAAATTTAGTCAAGCCTGCACATTTGAATCATTTGATGTCAATTCATTGTATACAAACGTATCCAATGAAGATGCCTTGCAAGCACTATCCGAGATGTTAGATGAACACATCAGATCCATGTCGACGTATGGTCTTAGCAAGGCACGCATCATGACACTAATCAAGGAATGTTTGTGTTGCAATATTTTTAGATGGTCAGGACGGTATTACGCACAAGTACGAGGTTTGTCGATGGGTCAACGATTGGCACCCGTTTTAGCCATTTGCTTCATGAGCAAGGTAGAACACCCAGTGTTACTCAGAGACCCACTTATGTACTGTCGTTATATAGACGACTGTTGCATTGTCACGACAACACAGTCCGAGATGGACGAGTGTTTTAAAATACTCAATCAACAGTCTAAGTACATAAGTTTAACAAGAGAGAAACCTCGAAACGGTTGGTTGGCCTACTTGAACATGCAGATGACGTTTGTAGATGGCTCAGTATGCACCAAATGGTACCGCAAAGAAAGTAGCAAAAACATAAT